TGTGTGGATTGCATGCCCCCCACCGACTGTAAATAAAGCACACTGGCCTAAGGCAAGAGCTGCATCTAAAGACTCTGTGTTGTAGAAACATGCCAGGTCCCGCTTGCCTTGTGTCAACAACAAACTGGCAGTGAACAATAATGGACAATACCTGGAGGAAATAGGTCTAGTAAGCAAATGTAGGCAAATTAAAGCTGTGTCAGACAATTATTTGATGTGATCATCTTGTCAGTGAAGATCAGAAAGTGGGGCACTGGTAGAAAGTCTGACACACAGAAAGTGAACCATCATCTAAGTCTCTCCTAAACAAACCCTGGCTCCAAGAATTTACTCTGAAATACAACTAATTTGCCATAGCCCGCCCCCCACCCAGTGTCGCCTGGGAGAGGCTGGGAGTTCTCAACCTGGGGTCCGGGGACCCGTATGTAACCTTGAGGGGGTTCCGTGGGCAGAAATGAGCCCAATGAGAGAATGTATTAGAATGACTATTCTGTTCATATTTCTTCACTGTTCCAATCTACAGTATAGACCATGCATCACCAAATGGCGGACCTCGGTCCGGATTCGGACCGAGCAATGGCTCAGACCGGACCCATGACCAATCTCTGATAAATTCACAAGAATAGAAATTTTCCATGGAGCATTTTTCTGACGGTCGCGGGCGCTGCTACTCCAGTTAATACGGCAGTAGCGTCACTCAGCTGAGCCAATCAAACCCTTTGTTTACCCTGCACGGCCAGCGCACCTGAGCAGAGAGGAAGAGACAGTGCTGAGAGCATGGCTTGCTCAAAAGTGAGGAAGGTGGAGGCGGAAAACTTGTTTTAAAGATGAATGGACGGAGAAATGTATGTTCATTCTTCCAGCAGACAGTTCAAAACCAGTGTGCCTCATATGTTCTGAAAACGTCGCATTAATTAAAAGTGGCAACGTGATGCGCCACTACGAAACACGGCACAGCTCCTTTAAGCGAAGTTATCCCCTGAAGTCCGAGCTGAGAGCACGCAAAATAACCCAACTCCGAGCTCAATATGACAGGTCTACTCGACTCATCACGCACACATTTACAGCCCAGCAACGTGCAAACGAATGTTCACTAAGGGTATCGTGGATTTTGGGGCAACATACAAAAACATTTAGTGATAGGACAGTTGTGAAGGAGTGCTTAAACGCGGTTGCAGAGACATTATTTGAAGGAAAACAAAAAGACGAGATGTGTGAAAAAATCAAACAAATCCCCATGTCAGCTTCAACAGCAACCAGAAAATCAGAAATATTAGATGATGTACTGGCACAGCTTGATGCAGCTATTCAGAGTGCACCATGCATATCGTTGGCCATCGATGAATCCACAGATGTTACTGATAATGCCCAGCTTTTGGTGTATGTGAGATTTTTTCACATCCTCAGATCCTTGTTCCTAAGAGAGACACTTTATGACTTTTTATTTTAAGTGTAGGCCTTCAGTTCTTTAGGCTGGGACCTCTTTAATTTAAAAGAAAGGGGGTTATTAGGCTCTGTTTGCACTTCATTTTTTTTATTCTGAGGTTTCTGTTTTCTTTAATCTGAAATAAAGGCCTTACATTTATTTGACTGGGAATGCTTTTTTATGGTAAAACTGCAGCCTGTTTACTATATAAGTGCACTCTGTTAAAAATGACAATAAATATTATTGAAACCATATGAAAATGTGAATATAGGGTAGCCACAATAATAAGACACAAGCTGGACTTCGGTTCGGACCTTTTATTTGGAGGAAATTTTAGTAGTGGACCTCAGTGACTTTTAATTGAATACCCCTGGTATAGACAGTTCTGAAATGACTCAATCTTATCAGATGGGATTCCCTGGGATTACAAATCAAATTTGGGTCTGTGGATCAATTTGGGAGTCCTTGACACCAAAAAGGTTGAGAACCACTGCTCTTAAAAGGATAAAGGATAAGTGGGTATAGCTAATGGATGGATGGATAATACATTATGGAGGAAACATAATGCCAACTTTGGGCCTGTCACCAACTGTATGTACCCCTTAACCTCCCTAATTTAATTTCCAAGTAAAAAGGAAAAAAAAAACAGATAGATCCACAGCTGATACATAGCACAACTTTTCACACTGTCTCCGGTTCAATGCCAACATTATAGCCCATACCAAACAAGACTTCATCAATCAACCTGTCATTCTCCATCTTACCCTCACTCATAACAAAGATCCCGAGAGACTTCAACTGCTTCATTTGTGATGAATCATCTATCTTTTGTTGCGTCTATCCCAACTTTTGACAAATTAAGGTATTTGATCCTTAACTTCAGCATTTTACATGTGATTAGAGGACCAATGTGTAAGATTAAGTGCCATCTAGCAGTGTAGTTGCATACTCTCACTTTATCCTCCTGTTCTAGGTATGTAGGGGAAAATATGGTGGCTATGAAACTCTGACACGAAAGGCCCTATCTAGAGCCTATCAGTGTTTGGTTTGTCCATTCTGGGCTACTGTAGAAAGATGACAGTTCAAGATGGCAGACTTTGTAGAAGAGAACCCACTCACTACATTTCTGCCAATAGACCCTCCTAAATGTTACACACTGGACCTTCAAGAGCAGAGCAACATTGCAACATACAGTCTTGCAAGTATATAGTTCTACCTGTTTTTTATCTAACATATTAATGTGAAGCATGTTTCTGCTTTGTCCTTCATATACAAGCATCCGTTAAAACATCAATATGTTGTTAGTTGTAGGTCTTACAATGAAGAATGTCTCTGCTGCACTGTATTCAGCAAAGCCATTACAGAGCAGATTGGAAAAATAAAATCAATCTCTCTGTTGCAGAGCCAGGTTTTTTGTGGGTATAGACTCTTGCAGTAACTATGTTCTCATCACATCCAGGCTCCAGAGAATGCTTCTCCACTCTCCGCCTCAAGAATAAAATGGTTGCTACACTTTATTGACTTGGAGATGGTATGGCTTAACTGACGGAAACTCTACACCTCAGCCAGCCTTCAAGTTTGATTCATTTAGTTTGAAAAATAGCCCCCTCGGTCGTCCTTGTGGCCTATAGCGGGTTAAGATGATAGTGTAATGGCAGTGTTTTGGGCTCAGTCCCTTCTGGGGACCTTTGTTTTCTTGCATTTTGTCCCTCATCTCTCTTTTCATTTTCTGTCAGCTTTATACTGTCTGTCTAATTAAGCCAAAAACCCAACAACGCAACAACAAAAAAAGAGTGCCCTGGTGGCAGCTTGTACAGTCACTAGTTTCAAGATGCTGAGTGCACACAGAGTGTTGTTGGTGGTGCAGAGTTTTCTGGGGCACACATGAAGACAGGAAAAATCTAGGATCATATGTTCTCCTTGGTTGTAGTAGGGGTCAATCATGGCCAGTCACATTGACTCATCTCATGCCTCTGCTGGCTCCTCTCATTAGCACACAGTCAGAGCTCACCATCTGCTCTTTGTTTAGTGTTAAGAACTGGCCAGATATATCAGTCATTTTTTGTTTGTTTATGAGATGATTTAGTGCAGGTGAATGGTTTTGATGGTTGATGGTTTTTATGTGTTCGAGATTTATGTAGAATAAATGGTAATAGGTAACAGGAAATAATGGTTGGTATGGATCAATCTAAATGTATCGTGATCTGGTCGATAGTCCGATTCTAAAATTATGAATCGGTTGACTGAAGCTTTGCTGCTAACAGCATCTCCACTCTTGTGAAAGATAAAAAGGTCAAAATGAGGGTCTTACGACAAGAATTCTTTTGCAATGTCGGTACATAAACATATCCAACTACGCCGATATGATTTCCAATGCACCATCAAATCTAAAACCTAAAGTTCTGAAGACATTTGGATTCTATAAGAAGAAAGGATAGTCTGACAAAAGTCTAGCCATTTGTAAGATCTGTTGGACAGCAATGAAGTACAGCGGTATCACAACAAATGTCAACACTCACCTTGTGAGACAGCATGGTGACACCTATGCAGGTGATGAGGAGTCTGTAGATGCTAATACAGCTAGCACAAGCAAGAACATGCAAGACACGGATATTAAAACACAACTTAGTTCCAACTGGGCGAGTTCTAAGGTAATCACAGAAGAAAGGTTTTTGTACTCGGGATTCCCCAAAGTTCCTCTCAGCTCAGTGTAACATTTTGGAACTCAATGCAATTATCCCACACACTAGAACAACACAGTGCCCTGTGGTGTTCTTTGTATTTACTGTGTTAGGTTTCAGTTTAAGGGTGGACGCAAATGCAAACAGGCACCCCAGGGAAGGTTGAGTTTACAAAAAGGTATGACTTACTGGAGGTGTTAACAGAACCAGGCAATGCAACACAAACTTACTAAAGGCAGCTTAAAAAAGGTCCAACAAAAAATCATTCCAACAACAGTAGTTTAACAGGAAGAATCCACAAGATGATCAAAGTTCATTTGGAGCATTGCTGGAATACAATAAGAAACAGAGATACAGGCAACATGCAGGACTAGGGAACAGACACAGATAATCTGACAACTGAAAGAGGGAAATCACATGACTAAATACACAAAAAACGTATTTACTAATGAATCACAGGTAAACCATGTTTTATCTGCCATAGGGGCATCCTAGAGGGCGCTTTGTGGTGTTGTTCGAAAATGGGGGCACAAGGGGGGTGATCCACCCCACCCACTAATCACGATACATGAGGACAGACTTTTAACAAAAAAATAGGAAATAACTAAGCAAAAGCCCAAAACCATGACACTGTGGTTCGTCTGAAACTTGCTAATAAATAATACTGGGACGCAAAGGAGACATGTAAAAGTCAAAAAGGACACTGAAAACGTCTGGGTCCAAAGAAGAACCTTGCCTGTGTTTTAACCCTGGTTCTTCCCCCGTCAAACCACAGATAAAGGTCTAAACTTTATGATCATGAAATCATGGACTGTATGTGTCAGTTTTTGTAAAATATGCCTCGTTTCTCAAACCTGTGCATCCTCTTACTTATTGCCTCTGTTTTTCATCAGACCCAAGAGTCCCTAAACCCCAACAACCTGGAGTACTGGATGGAGGACATCTACACGCCGGGCTATGACTCGCTGCTCAAGAGGAAAGAGGCAGAGTTCCGGAGGGCCAAGGCGTGTAAGATTGGAGCGTTGATCGCAGCCGCTACCTGCACTGTGATCCTGGTCATCGTTGTTCCAATTTGCACCATGAAAACATGAGAGCACCAGGTGGAGTTTTTTTGTTTTTTGTATTTAATGCAGTATTTACTTCTGGTGGTCTTTCTTGCCAGTATAAAAATGATTAGGACAGCTCCTGTACAATAGAAATGAATTCAGCAAGTGCATAATATCCTGTATACTGTATATCTATTGGTTTAACAGTTGTAGTTTATTGTATTGTTATAAACTGTGCGGGACAAGCTCATTGGTTAAACTGTTTTGAACAGCTGCAGCAGATGATAACTGAACTAAACTATTGGATTTGTTATTGTAGCCAGCGAATGATATTTTTATTTTTTCGTATAATTACTGTACAGTGTATTTTGATCAAAGTTATTTTTGATGAATTATCTGGTTGAATGTGAGAATTTCTCATTATTTTGTTATCTTTCTTCAATAACGGCAAGCATTTTAAGTAAGGAAATTTGTGCGCATACATTTTTTCTAATTAGAAATATATTGAAGTTGAAAGTTGAGGTATACTTGTACATAGAATGCAGACACAGTATGACTACACAGCCAAACTGAATGTATTGATAACGCCTACTCACTTGGAAAGGAATAACTTGAGATTTACTTGAATGTCGCTGCCCTCTCGTCCTTTTTCTGAATTATAACCAGCCAACAGCACATACTTGCTGCTCTTCCTGAAAGCAGTGGATTCATTCTTTTCTTTGCAAGTGTTTGCTCAGTGAATACTTGCAGTTCTGCATCACTCGAGACTATTGAGGCTCACCTGGGAGGATTGTATGGACTCAGCACTATTGATTGGGCCAGCCCCCCACACTAGCACAAATTAAACAGAACTACAACCACCCTCAGAGTGGGTTTGTTCATCCATTCCCTGCTGCAGCCTCCTTAAATGCCTTAAATTACTCTACACTTCTGTAGCCCAATGGTGTCCATTTCATAGCCTGGCAGCCCTTAGTTTAGCCTCAATACAGAATAGTAGCCTTACTTTTAGTTTTCTTAAGGCTGGTGTAATTGACCCTTCCTAAGTCCCACCCCTTTTTGCTCCTTCCTCCAATAACAGTTGCACAAGCCTCAGTCAACTTTCCTTACATATTCTATGTGCAAAGCTAATCTATGTTAAAAAGACTACATTTTGAAGATAGTTAAAAGATATTAAGTTAACTAATGTTAGCAAAACGCTACGGAAAAAAGCAAGCGAATCTAAATGAATTGTTTGCTAGCTAGTTACATTTGATAGTGTTAGCAAATCGAAAGCTAATTAACTAGCTAATGTTCGTGTAGATTAACTAGTAAGTTAGCTAGCGTTTTGCTAACATTATATTATTATTATATATAGTAAGCTCTTTTTTATCTGCCACACGTCACTTTCCATGGAGCCATTTTTCTAAAGTAGCCCAGAACGGACAAACCAAACACTGGCTCGAAATTGGATCTTTTTGCGTTTTTCACAAGTTTTGCCGCTACCGTAGTTTCTCCTGCATACTTCACAGCCACATTTTCAGCTTGTCAAGTACGGATGCAAGTGTTGTTCAATTAGTTGCAATCTGCAGCTTCACCATTAGATGCTACTAAATCCTACACACTGGTACTTTAAGATGTGACGCTATACTGTATATTTCGCATTTTAACCATGTTCAAAATTTGGTTGTCTTTTCAACATATGAGCCTAGCACATAGCATATGTAGAAAGTTAAAAGAGGATCCAAAAGGGGGCGGAACTTAGGAAGGGTCAGTTTTATTTTTTAAGGTGAGTAATTTAAAACAGCTGTACACTGCAGATTTTAAGCAAATGATACTCACACAAAAACAAATGTTGCATTTGTTGGGGACTATTTTCAGTGGTATATTAATACACATTTGGTGCTCTACTGAGTATTTCTGTCAGCAGCAGGATGGTGCATGTGGGAGTCCAAGTGTGTGTGTTCATGGTAATGAAGGAACAGGGAACTGCTGGGACAACAATGGAACTCTATGGCACAGAGCAAGAGGATATCAGTACAATACTTGTTAGTAGGATCAGTTTATTGTTGGTTTTGGTCTGCATGTGGGATTTTTTGGGAAAGTAGCAAAGATACAGCAGTCACCGGCTTATTCTTTAATGTCCATGTAACTGAAAACTAATAATTTATCCTCCATTAGTTTGTCCTTTACACTGTTCACATTTATATAATGAACTGCTACTAAACACAACAACACTGAAATAAATCCTACCTTTATGAATCTTATAATGTTCACCAGAGAGGAGTTTATTCACCTCTGTAGTGGTGCTGTTTTATTGGAGTCTATTATGTTTATAAATTGTCTACCATTTTGTTCCCAATATGTGTGTGTAAATCATACTTGACAAGATTTTACATTTTTGCCTTCGATCTTTATGTTTATGATAATAACAACAGAAAACAAATGCACACAGCCATGAAGTAATGAATCATTGTCATACACAACTAATCTGGTTCCAGACCATTGAATCGCCATCCACAAATAATCAGATCAGATCAACCAATCAGAGCTTTGGATGTCGGCCCCAGAATAGGGATGTCATCTTTCTACGTAGCTGGCTTTCTACTAAGCTACACCAATAAAGCATACTGATGGAAACATGGCCACAAAAGAGAGATGAGCTGTACACGCTGTTGTAAATGGACAGAAATCAACACTGAATACTGAAAATGATGTTGGTAGGATGGATATGTCCCTCACTAGTGAAACGTTAGGCCAAAGCAAAACAAAACAAAAACCCTCTCCTCCCAACTAGCATGCCAACATGTACACAGCGTTACACTGAATGAATAAAGTGCAATGAAATGCAATTTTAGTTGCATTATCAGCCATAAAAATATTCTAGCAATGACTGAAAAGCTTTAGGCTGAAGCCATATTATGTATACACATTGCTTGATGGAATATAATACCGTGATTTTATAATTATATTTTAGCATTCATTTGGATTTCTGAAATGCACTTTTCATCCTGATGATTGCTTCATAGATTCCCACAATTTACTTAAACACATTTAATTTTGGAATTTGTCCCAACATGCACATGCCTTCAAGATAAAACTTGCTGCATCTTTTTGCAAACATGCTTTTACTTATTGTTTGTAAAGTTTTGTGTTTAATACACTCTTTGCATAATACTACTATAATCAGATCGCAAAATGTTCATACACAGAGCTTTAGTAGGGTCTTGATGATCCGATCTGGCAATAATTCTTATGGCCGTCTTTCGTAGTATGAAAACTGTGTTTTTAATGCTTTTAAAATGCTCTGTCTCTGTCTCTCTACACAGTAGATGATGTGTATGGAACAACAGTTGAGCATAGAACACATTCTGATTTGACTGATTGTATATCAGATAACAGAGTTTGAATTTCTGTATAACTTGATCTCATATTTTATATTTTTTCTGTGTTAACTGCACAAATTCATGAATGAAAAAGGCAGTCCAACCTATACCACCACCACTACTAACCAGCACCCAGAATGATTATTGAGAGACATTATACAACCAGGCTGCTGATAAAACTGCATTTCTTGTGGCCATTGTGAAGCACCCAGTAGTTTTTTATTTCCCCCCACTGATATAGACAGATGTGTGCTGTATTGAGGTCCTGCAGTTGACATTCCAGCCTCTAACAGTTGGCATACTGTTGGGCAGATACAAGCACTGCTATGTAAATGCAGTAATACTGATGAAAATGGCAGATAAAAGTGAAAGCAGTGCTAAACCAAACTGTTACAAATTCCATGTATTCCTTTCAATAAACACCACCAATAGAACAGTGTGAGAGAAAACTACACAGGAAGAAACGTTTAAAAAAAAAAAATTTGAATCTATAATTTTATAAATGAGTGGTTTCCAACCTTTTCCCTCAAGGTAGTCTTTTCTATCATTAAGTAAACAGATAACCCCTTGCTAAGTATCATATTTTATGGATTTTTCCTATGGAGAGAGTTATCATTTATAACACTGTGTAGTTAAATGAGTCAGGAAAGATATTCAGTTACTATCATCCGTTTGTATATGAACTCGATAGAATCAGTTGGGGTTGATTTCCCACAATGATCCTAATTGAAGTGTGATTATGCTGAGCACAATGTTGGCCCATTTTCACTTAAGCCATGTTGTGTCCACATAAAGCCTGCAGCAGGTTACAGTGTTGCTGTAGTCTCATTAGCTAATTAAGAAACAGATGAGGCTCATTGTGTGGGATGATGCTGCATTTGTATACAGATTACCATGTAATTACCATTACAGGTCACCATGCCAACATCCAGGAGTTGCCAAATTTGAGCTAAAGTTATGTCTAATGCCAGCTTTCATTGTCGGTGTAGGTAGCAGTCAACCTTTACTGTACTGTAGTTCCCATGTGCAGATGCTGTAGAATTTTAAAAACATTGACATTAGAAGAAAAATAAATGAATATAATACAGCCTATTTCAGAATTCTCCAGAATCTTCATTTCTGGGCAGGGACAGAATAGGTCATATAATACATATATTTATCCTATTCTTCTACTCTTTTGCCGTAAGGTCTTTAGAGCTTATTTAAAACAAATTGAGATCAGGTGAAAAGCTGCCCTGTTTAATAACCGATTCACTGGTGCACTGCTTCTGCCCTTTAGTGTGGTTTGTGGCGCCTGATGGTGATGTCATTGCAAGACCTCAAAAGTGCAGTACACCCCTATGTAGTTATTTTAAGGAGGATTTAACGTGCAAACTAACATGTTGTAGTGGCTGATGGGAAAAGGCTGTGAAATCAAATGATATGCTCCCAACCGATCCCTATGGCTGACTTCCTGACCTCTTGTTGCTCTATTTTTTAGTCAATAACTAGAATGTCATTGTTCAGGATATCAGTTCACTTTCCCCTTCTTAATCACTGCACAAAATAAATGGTCCTGGTTTAGATTGTGAAGCTAAACGCTGTCCATCTACTGTCTGCAATGAAGAGAGATGCTGAATTCAGCTGTAAGTAGAGAGCCACTGTTTGTGTTTCTGTTTCTCTTACTGTTAACCATCCACTGCATTGGATCTGCCTTCCGTACAGGAAATGTGAGCTGCAACACACTGTAGGAGTCTGTAAATAATTTCAGGTTCAAGGCACATTGTGGGAGCAGGTGTTAACTGGAATATTACTATAATAAAAATGTATTGTTCTGACTGTTAATGGATCTGTGTTTTTTATGTTGCAATATTGTGTTTCATCTGGTATACCTGAGAATATTTCATCACTGATGGAAGATATTCTTGTGTATTTACACCAGTCACCATAGATTTTTAATTACCTTACTCAAAACATTAACATAGGGAAATAATCACTATTTTTATTATTATGTCTGGGTTTCTTAAAAGAGGTACTATGTTTTTTTGAGCTGTAAACTAAATGATATGGGTTAGGACTGTACTGTGATGATCGGTCAATACTGCTGTTAATATTGACATTCTCACCAAATTGATGAACCTTAAAAGACCAATGCTGAGAGAGTTCATTTGGGGCTCACTTTATGTCATGACATTTATATTAAATAAGAGTGTTAATGCCCTCTAACCAGAGGAGGCCGTTTGGTCATCCAGTCAACATGTGCTTGGTGGACTTGGAGAAGCCCTACAATCACATCCCCTGGGGTATACTGTGGGAGGTACTGCAAGACTATTGGGTAAGTCTATTGACTGTAAGTCAAACACATTTTTGCCGGGGTTGCCCTGTGTCACAGATTGTTTTTGTAAGCTGGGGAAGGAGAGTGTCTGCTTTGGAGACATCAGAATTGCGTCTCTCCTCTTTGCAGATGATGCCGTTCTTTTTGCTTCATTAGAATGTGACCTTCAACGTACACTGGGGCATTTTGCAGCCTAGTGTGAAGTGGTTGGGATAAGAGTCAGCACCTCCAAGTTTGAGGCTATGATTCTCTGCTGGAAAACAGTAGACTAGTCCCTCTGGGTTGGGACTTTGTTTGCATTTTGACTCACATTTCTATGTAAGAGATGTGAAAATGTGGACAGAAGCAAAAGAGGCAATATTCATCATAGATGCAATATGCAGATGCACTGGCAAATGCGCCGGTGTTCAGTGTGGACATCAGTGACTTCCCATGTCTTGCAGTTGGCTGACAACAGACCATTCAAGTTTTAAGCCTAAAAGGGATTACAGTTATAGATATAACAACAAAGTTCGAAGCCTTTACAGTTATAGTTCGAGGTCAAGTTTAAAACTCAACTGACTATATCAAGGTAGCATATTAAATGGAAGCTTGAATGAATGCTAACACAATAATTTGATCGAGACAGACGACCACCCACCTAGAGCCGAAGGATCTGTCCTAGGTTTCTGCCTTTTAACAGGCAGTTTTTCCTTGCCCTTGTTGCCAAAGTCTTGCTCATGGTGGTACTGTTGGGTCTCTGTAAATAATGTCATAAAGAGTTCGGTCTAGACCTGCTCTATTTGAAAAGTGTCCTGAGATAACTTCTATTATGAATTGGCGCTATACAAATAAAATTGAATTGAATTGAATTGAATTAATTCATGAAGAAAACAACCCATTCCCCACAGTACGTTCACAGAGAAAGACACAAAGAACTTTACTTTGGTCTTGAGAAGATGCTGCCTACACTGTACACTGTGATAGTCCGGCCTACAATTGATCTACAGTCCTCTGCTCAATGGTTATGGTTGTCTTGTTTCTCTCTCTTTTTACTCTTCTTAGATCCACCTAAATGAGGTACCATCATTAAAAAGGGCTAAATGTATTTTTCCCTTTCAGAAAAGAGCTTACATATCTCACCTTTCTTCCTCCAGAGATTTATTTCCCCCCCCAAACAATTCACTTCCCTTTGTCTCCTTTGTTCTCCAGGCCACACCCCTTTCCACCCATGACCTTGGAGTGGAAGATCACCTGACCAATGCTAGCTATAGTGAACCACATGATAGACAAGAGAAAGCCAGGTGGTATTCAAATAGTCTTGCTTGCTTTGGAAGGTTCCTAACTGAGTGAAATGACCCGAAGTAACCAAAGTATTTCAGTGGCAGCCATGATAAGAGCTGTTCAGATTTTATAAATGCTGAGGAAAGGAGCTTCAGTTCTTCATTTCTTATCTCCTGTAGCCTAGGGCACACTGGACCATCCAGATAATGCTGCCCCACAATTCCTTGTGGCAAAAACATTTAAAGCAGTGTGCCATTGTAGTTTCACCTCGGCAGACCCATCAAAATGTAGAAACAACAGTTCGTGTTTGTGACACCATTCAGAACATATGGAAATCCAAACCCATAAACATAGATTTCTTCTCTTTCAAATCTATCCAGGTAGGAGTCACCTTGAAGAACAAGAATATTGAATTTCTAGTTAACAATATCATCATCATAACAAAATACTATATACATGTGTAATGAATGAATGAAAAAAAGGGTTGTATCTGCCCATACCAGAAAACTCACTAATATCTACTAATACTCTTGCCTCTTGCTCAATTCCTTATTTTTATTAAATTATTGTTTTAATTGATCAACTTTCTTTCTTTATATTCTGTATATTTTTGATTTTTTTTTTTTTTCTTAACACACCACAGGCCCAAAATATAATCATGCACACACAGGGCTTATAGACATGCAAATGTAGAGAGATGGTGAATTGATGGGCTGCCACGTAGCCTGGCCTTCTCAATACCCATCCTCTCCAGCTACCAGTCTGTGCTGGACTTTCCCAAGCCATTCTTGATTAAGCAGCTTTTACAAGTAATTTGAAGTGACACTGACTTAATTTTCTACTTAAGTCTTTATTTGAACTGTGAAAACACAGTAACAAGTACTTAATCAGGAATGTTTCTGTATGTTACAAAACTACTAGTAACAGCTGCTTAATAAAGAATGTTTGTTACAAAATTGAGTTAGTGTTACGTAAAATTTTCAATGTAATCAGTTTTAACAATTGTGTGTTAAATTAACATATTACAGTGCAGGTAAACAATGGTTTTCAAACCAATGACACCGCTGGCCTCTATATTTGACGACCTGGGAATAAGAAAAGACTATGAAGAGTTTAGGAGAAACTACAGTGGCTGCGAAACTCATGTCTTGCTACAGCCACACTTGGCACACTGGCCGTCTTCATTTTAGCAAACAGACACCCATCATAGCAAAGGTTGCTGACTCCTACAGACATCCCTGTCTTCTTCACTCCAGCGAACTTCCCTAAGATGCTCCTGCCATTAGGGCTTTCTGAAATGCAATCAAGCATCTTTCAGCTGAACCAGAAAATGTTGCCATTTCTAGCTACCACCATCATCATCTTTGATCCAAATCAGCTTCTATATCTTTAAATAAGCTAGATTTTAGGTTAAACTTGTCACTTTCTGGGCCAGCTGAATGCTCCTGATAGCCTGAATACTGACACATAAAGTGGGACACACTATGCAGAGAGATACTGAGGAGAACTGAATGTGGGTTCTGCCAAAATATTGCCGTCTTTGGTGTGGCATTTGCATAATAATTGGATAAATCAATGTTATTAAGGTAGAAACCTGAGCTAACAATACAAGGATTAGATAGAAGAGGACACTTTTCAGTGATAGATTGCCAATCAATTATGCATTTCTGTTTGACTGACAGAACTGTTCAGCTGCCAACAGGAAATTATCATAAAATCACTTCCTCCTGCAAAGATTTTTTCAGCCCTTTGCAGTTTTGTTATGCTGCTGTTTCTTTGACAGCCCATTCTACCGTTTTCTCCTGTCTGTCAACCCTGAGGTAAGGTAAACACAATCAGTGTAGTTTTTTGATGTGGTGGCTGCAGGCAGCAGGGGAGGCCAGACAGTCCTGCAATCTGCTGCAGAAAAGTTACACCCTCAAGACCTAAACACAATCACAGTGAGATGGATAGAACTGAAAGGGCCAACCATATCGCTGTCACTGCAACACCTGGCAGCTATACCAGTTACATGTCCCAAACACAAAGTCACAAAGTTGTACAGCAGGAACTAACTGGGATGACAATGGGGTAACTTCTGCCACAGTTGTATTATTATGTATCATCATTGTGGATATCATTATGAGAAATGTTTTGCTTTTGTTTCCAGAGGCCATTAAAGTTGTTGATGACGAGGTTGATGTAAATGTGTCTGACTATTAACTTCATTAAAAAGGCTGGCAATTGCAGTGAGGCTGCTAAATTCAAACTAAGGACTTAATCATGCAAAATAGTATTTGTTTTTATGACTTATTAATCTATTTTATTTTGTTTTATGAGCAGCATAAATTGAACTATAATCTGAATTTCATTATACAGTACAAAACTGAGTTGTAAATTACCATAAAAAAAACCTTAAATTGTTGAATCCTTTAGTATTTTAATCCCAGGTAGCTCTCTAGGTTCACGCTGGAATTACAAATTTACAAAAGTGAAAAAATGACCATGGGATTAGCTTTATCTGGGTACCTTATGCAGAGCTGGTTGGCCCTATACACTCAAACTGTGCAGGGTCCAATAAATTATGCCAAGGCCCCGAATCTCCCTTGTATCAAAGCGGGTGTCAGTGTTTATATCTTCAGTGAGAGGATGAAGCAGAAATATCTTCCTTTTCACCAAAAGTGAAAAAAATGAGTTTTTCCTTGCCACTGTTGCCAAGTGCTTGTGAAGACAGTTTCCCTTAAATTTGAGTTTTCTCCACTTTTTATTTATAGTGCTCGATAAGCACTTTCTACAATATCTTATTTATGTTAATGTTAATATTCAAGATTCTATGGACAATATTATATTCAATAAATATTGTGTTTGTGGTGTGACTGTGTGGCAATGGGAAATGGTTTACATGGCTCATGGGTCAGGAAGGAGGGTCCCTTGGCAGAATTTTGCTCAGGGCCCCAGGTAGGTCAGGAATGGCTCTGACCTTAAGTGATTTAGAAATGAACCCCCCATGTCTGTGTTTCATGCAGCACATTCATGCAGGATTAACAATGTCCCTTTCACTGACCAAATCTCAGGATTACCTCCACAATATATATTTATAACAATATCCCTGGCTGAAAATGATTTTATTAAGCCTGTTGAAAGATATCCTTATCAAATATGTAGGGGATAATTCCTGACAAGGTGTCCATTATCCGGAACCCTCCAAAGCACGGCAGAGGTCTCAAAGAGCTGTATAAGTACATTATTTTCATGCCATTTAGTGTGA